TGGTTTCACAGGAATCGTAAAGTGTTCCTAGTGCTTTCACATTGGACGAACTTCTAACCGGTACAAGATTCAAGAGTTTATTCCTGTGAGAAGATATAACCAAATCTGTTCGTCCAGATCTTTCTTTAATTAAACTTATAGAACCGTCCTAATTTTCATTAAATAGTGCAAACCCAGATACTGCAGGTCCTGCGATTAAGGATTTAAGATATTTAAACTTCTCGGTCTCTGTTAACTCATTATTATTACCAATAGCATTTTCAAAATTATTATAAAATTCCAAAAATAAACTGGGATCACCATAATATTTAGGAACTGAAATTTTAGGTAGGTTAGTTTTATTTTCGACATTTACGGCAGCAGTATGGTTACCAGGCGATTCATTTTCTGTATTCACTATCTGAGAATTTAAATTAAGGTTCTGTTTAGCCCTAAAAATACATAAGATCATTTTTTCATCACACTCTAACACGGTATTACATTTTTTCTCAATATCGGACTCATCCCCTTTAAAACAATCCAGCATTTTTTCATTAATTTCTTTCAACGCAGATTGTTTAGAAGTAAGTAAAAACACATTTTCTTCTACCATATTCTTGCCACAAATGTCTTTTTTAATTTCAGGTTATAAAACATTTATTATTTTATAAATAGCTTGTCTCATAGTTTTTCTAGCAGCTTTCAGTTTAACAATATCGTCTGCCATAATAACAACAAAAGTAATTTTATTCGCTTATCTGATGTGTAGTCTTTAATAATTTAATGCTTATTTAGTCACTCACTTTCCAAGAGAAAAGCATTCACAAGTATTCTGAACGTTTATCCTGCCACGGTCAGTGCAGAGAATAATTTTTCCACAACACGTAAATATACTGCATTTTTAAATCAAAAACTCTTCGTGCGCCCCACATTGGGCGCCAAAAATATAAAATAATATATTAACCGTCAAGATTTCAAGTTATCCTGGTTCAAGAAACATTATTCAATTCAAATCACACAAATCACCAATGTAAAAGAATATTACGAATCAAATTTCAAAACTTCCAACTTTATTCAAGTCCTCACACACATTCAACTGGCACTGCCAGATCCGAAAACAAGAAGTATACATCATAAAAGATTTACTCCCTCTTCGGCAATTAAAATATATTTCCACAAAAATTTCTTACAGTACTTGTTAGATACACAAAATAAACAGAGTGAATAGTCGCTACAAATTTCATCCCTATCCTAGCTGACGAGGAATTCTAGTTTAGATAGTTATTACAATTTTATTTCTGGTTATAAACATGGGAAATTTGTGACATATTTTGGGAATGTTTTTTCAGTACATAGCCCAAACAAGACCAGTGTTTACAATGTTTCGCCAGCTTATCATAAGCAGGTATTTAATAATAATTTTTACTTAGATTATTAAGATTGCATGAACACGTTTCAACTTCTCAAATACGTGTTCCATGTGTAATATTATTAAACGCAATCTCTACCTAAATAATCTGCACATATTTCTAACATCTGAGATTCTCACGTAAGATTGTATTATTTTTGATTTATCACACTGTTAACCCATTAGCCGCTGGTGTTGCGTTGACGCAACGGTAAACTTAAATGCGTTATATAAATATAACTAGCAAAGATATTTTATACCAGCAGATGATTTTGTGTAGGAAATATTATGAACACTATTTCTGTAAAACAATATTTGCCTCAACAATCATTTTGTTTATAATAATAAATCTCATACTTTCAGCAAAATTTTCAACCGTTTGTTTTGCTGAATTTTTGTCTGAAAATATTTAACGAAAAAATCGCCGTCTTTATGAAGTGATCTATTTTAGTCAAGATCACCGTTTATCAGAACATTACATCAATCAGATATTTATATTTGTGTTGGGAAGGAAGGGAAACAGTGTTGCGTTGACGCAACGTCAGCAGGAAACGGGTAGTCAAACTCCTTTTTCACTCATTCCTTTCGATGTTCTGGTTCATGTTCTGGTTGTTTAAAAATGCCTAGAACGAGGTATCTTACATTAGAAGGAGCCCTTCAAAGGTTTTTTGATGAAGAAACAGATGATGATAATGTTAATAATGACCAGAATGAAACTGATATTGTTGTTGTTACCCAGAAATTGCAGAGGCTAATGAGAAAGAAGAATGGAATGGCAATGTTTTAAATAATGATAATGATGTTTTACCAAATGATACTGCTCGGGAAGTTGAAATTCACGTAAGAAGTAAGTTTCAGCCTTCTAAAAGCAGTTATAGTCATACTAAAAAGTTTAAAAAGCAGAAGACTGAAATCTTGAAGTGGATAAAAAGGAACTGTTAGTTATGTCTCAGGAAGAACATGAAGAAAGTGATAGAAGAGAAATTATAAAAAACAAAACACAGTGGTTTTGGTTTAGACATTTACTCTCTTCTCGTTGAAGACAAATATATACGCTCAGGAAAAAAAAAAAAAAAAAAAAAAAAAAAAAAAAAAAAAAAAAAAAGCCAGAATTTTTTGCATCTGAAGCCTATATGAGAAGATTTATTGGAATAGTATTGCTTGCAGGATATCATTCTTTACCTCAAGAAAAAATGTGCTGGTCTTTTGATAAGGACATTTATGTTTCTGTTGTACGAGAATTGATATCACTTTTGCAGTACAGGAATATGAAGTAGAATTTGCATTTGACAATAGTCAAACTGACCATACTGATAAATTATATGAGGTGAGACCGTATGTAGACTAGAGACTGATAAATTATATGAGGTGAGACCGTATCTAGACCGTATGTATATGAGGTGAGACCGTATGTAGACTAGAGACTGATAAATTATATGAGGTGAGACCGTATCTAGACCGTATGTATATGAGGTGAGACTGTGTGTAGACCGTATGTATGACCACATTTTACTATTGGAAATATAAAGTCTCTTTTAGATTTCAGACGCGAGAATGCATTATTCCTTTTGCAAACTCCTATTGAGAGTGTAGCATTAGCCAGAAATAGATCAGCAACAGGAAGACCTAGTAAATTCAGCATTCAAAAACCATTGCATGGAGATGGTAGACATTTTATCGTAAAGTTCGTTGAAAACAAGACTTTGTTGTAAAGCTTTACATCATGATTGTAATCAAGCTTTTCATGCTTGAATCTTTCAAATGAAATAATCTGTATTTGTAAAAGAAATACAAAGTATATTTTAATATTAAATTAATAACAAGTAAAGTGATTTGTAGATTTATAAAACGTTATACAGCTAAAAAGTAATCCTGCGCTCCACTGGAAAGAAACACCACAAGAGTACAATCCTACTCACTAAACATCCGTAGTCTTATTCCGCTGATGTTGCGCGAACGCAACACTCGCGTTTTCCACAGGTAAGAGCATTTTTTTTTTATTTTCAATGTAAATTTATGTTATAAATGCTTAATTTAATATTCGGTATTATTTTCATGAGAAAAGAAACATTCCTTGTAGTTTTGGCGGTTAATAGTTTAGCACAGCAAACGTGGCAGTGTACATAAGTGTCCATTCCGATGTTGTCACGCAAGCATCGCTGTTGGGAGTAAGTTTGAACTTTCTTTGTAAACCTCTTGTTTCAGTGGAAGTGAGATATCCCGTATTTCTGACTCACCTAGGTTTAATATGTAGATATAGAACATGTTATTCTTCCGTATCTCGTTCCGAATTTTGTACCATGAATTTGGAGATATTCGGAATAGATTAGTAAAAATTTATTAAAAGTTGAAAACTATCTATCGCAAAAAGTGTTTTGCGAAATATATTCCGAAAGAAAACATTGATTAGCACCGAAACATCCGATTTAAAAATATTGATCTTACTGAAATCATATTCATTGCCGAAAGTATTGTTTTTAGACATCAGCTTGCATAATATCTTCACTTTTTGCTGAATATATGAAAAAAAATGCACCGTTTTTGTAATATTAGTCGGTGCTGTTGTACTGAAAATGCAACTATGATTCTTATCGCTATGAAATGTGTACATAGATAGTTGATTTTAGTGAAATTATACATAGAATTTCTTTCTTTCCGGCATAATAATATAACATGAAATGTCTGATACAAATGATGTTTACCTGGAAATTTATAAATAAAATAAAGTATTGCGCTACTTTTGGGATAAAATGACAAACTGACAACTGAATTGGACACTAACTTTTGTCATCAAATTTGAAAGGAAATGGTCAATCGTGTTCAAACCTGGCACCCATTTGCCAACATTTTGGTCCGCACCCTGTATAACTGAAATGGATATTGTAATTGAATATCTGTAATTGATGCCTGTATTAGTTGCGAACGTAACCGGCCCTGACAGGCATTCCGGGGATTCTGAGAAGCAGAAAGCATTAGAGCAAAGTATATAAAACGAGACAGAACATCAGTTTCTCAGTTGTTATTAGTAGTTATTTCATCATACCTCCAACAATTGAGATAACTGCGCGTTATCTCCGCTCTCCACATGCGCTTTGTACTGAGCTCTCTTTAACGTCTTTATTAGTTTGATGTGCACCTACTGATTTTACTGTGGGATATTGTAAATACCTGTACGAATATTTTTGCAGAAAATTTCTGAACTGTGAAGGGTTTTTTGGTAAAATATATTTTACAATGTATCATCAGTTCAGTGTGCATACAATCCATTAATACCCCGAATACACGCAACAATATGTAACACTGAATTTTTCTAACACGTACTTCACATAAATGTATAATTCCCTGCAATCGTTAACTTTAGTATAAGATTTCTATTTCGGAAACCTAAAACTAATGCGATTAATACTTAATGGATGCCGCATCATAACCCACTATATAAATCATTTAATGTAATATGAGCGAATATATTTCCAGACTTCTTTATGCATAATTTCGAAATTCTTACAGGAAAATAAAGACTTAGAAGTTCATTTGTCTTTAATATACATATTATAATCAATTTTTGACAATGTAATAAAAGCACTGAAAAAAATTTGCTTTGAGTACAACATACCTGAAGCTCCTGATTGAGCACCAGCTCCCATTGCACCTGAAGCTCCGATTGCACCTAAAATGGACAAATATGCAGCAGTTATAGATTTTAATATTTTATGTATATTTTGATGAAATTGGTTTTCTTTTAAATCACTAAAACCTGGGATGTGAAGAAATATAAATTACGTACTTAATACGTTCCTAACAGTGTACGTAGGTTATTCTTCAATAAGTGCCAACTCCGCGAGTAGATTATATCCAGCTTCGCCTGATTAATTTTGTTTAATATTAATTACATTTATATTTTCTATTTTAGATTAAAGCTCAAATTGAGGTTTATTGTACGTTCCAGAAGAACCATTTATTTATTCACTTTCGACTGAAAATGAAAGGATAAATTATTCTTTCTTTGGACTTGTAACATAAACTAGAAGATCTCAGCGAATTGTCGCTACAAATTTAATCAGCATTATAGGTTACGAGGAACTCTAGTATAGCTAAAATATTACAACCTCGGTTAAATACTTAAAAATGTGTGAAATATCATGGCATTGCGGATCTCACTATATATGGGCATATCTGGAACAGACTTTAAAATTTCTCGGCAACTTACCAAAATTAGATAATTAGCAACAATTTTTGCTTACTAAGATAGCATGGACATATTTCAAATTGTCATGAATTTCTCCTGTTTGTTCAATATTGTTATGAAACATAAACTAGTTATGGAAAGTTTTCATATTTCTGATATCTGAGCATTTCAGATCAAATATATAATTGTTTTTTTAACTTAGAATTTTTGAAGTATCCTGATGTCGAAATGGTAATTCGAAATTTAAATTACAAACTTTCAGGGATGATACAGAACAAAGACGTGAATAATATTATCATTGGAACCTTGGGTCGCAATCCATTTATTTATTCATAAATAACATTTAAAGTGCATTTACAATAAAAAACTGCAAAATGCGAACGAGATCACACAACATCTCGCATCAATTGTTTCATAAGAAAAAGAGCACATATAAGAAAACATCTTCTTTAAACTACTTCACGAAAGTTACATAAACGGTAATGCCAGAACTGCATACCGTTTATGTATGTTACTGTTTATGTAATGCCAGAGCTGCATTACATAATCGGTTACATCTTCAAATTAGTTTGTGCTCCTCATCAACCAGGATTCTATTTGAGGACGAACTCCATGAATACAAGATTTGAAGGAAGAATTTTGACTTATAGAAGCGAAAAAAAGTACAAGAGCGGTTGGACAAAGCTTTAGGTTTGAGGAAGCGAAACATTCGACGAGTGTTAAACGAAAATCAATTACACTCTTTCTATTTACAGTGATTACAATCCTTGAATCGTCAACACTATCCTCTGGGCCTAAAATTCTACCAGTGGATTTTGCGGCAATTTGCACTACAGCCGGTAATCACAGAAACTGTGCTGATTACAGATGATGCGACATTTTCCTGCCAGGGTGTATTTGATTTTAACAGTTCTCATCTGTAGGCATCTGAGAATCGAAATGTTATGCGACCACACGTATCTTATCAAAATCTCAGTGTGAATCTGCTTTCAGGTATCGTCCAAGCGTTTTAAATGTGTCATACCTACTGCTGCAGTGACACAAACACAAAAGTATCTGTCTTTTCTGGAACAGGTGTTACCAGAAATTTCCCAGCATGACCCAGTCTTGATTGGTAAGCAAATGTAATTTCAGTATCGTCGGGCAACCCAAGACTTTGGACCTAATGTTCGCAGTTACTTGGATGTCAGTTGTAAAGGGCTATGAATTTCCCGTAGTAGACCAATTCCTTGGCCACCCGGTTCCCAATGTTGTTCGAGCGAAGATTATTTTTTGCGACATCGGAACAGTCTTGTATATGCAACTAGAGTTGACTCAGCTCAAAGAACCCGTTCTTCGAATATGAGTAGCTGCTGCGTGTGTGAGTGAAGTCCCTGGTATCTTTGGAAGCGTACACAATTATGTCTATCGATGCTGTCGAGCATCTACCGCTGTTGGTGGTCGGAAGTTGGAACTCTTCTTGTAAACATCTTGTTTCAATTGAAATGAGACACCCCGTATTTATTACTCAATAAATGGATTTCGAACTAGCTTTCCTATGAAGATATTGCTCAGTTCCGCACATTGCTTCGAAGATTGTACCATGGATTTGGAACCCTTCGGTATAGGTTTTTTGAAAATTCATTAAAAGTAGAAAAAACCATCTATCACAAATAGTGTTTTATGAAATACATTCCGAAAGAAAAAATTTATTAACACCAAAACATTCGATATAAAAATATTGATCTTATTTAAAACTTACTCATTCCTGAATGTGGTGTTTTTAGACATGAGCTTACATAATATCTTCAATTTTTGCTGAATGCATGAAAAAACGTGCACAGGTTTTCTCATATTAATCGGTGCTGTTGTACTGGAAATTGAACTATGATTCTTATCTCTATACAATGTGTACATAGACAGTTGATTTTAGTGAAATTAAACGTGGAATTTCTTTCTTTTCCGACATAATAATATAACAAGAAATGCATGAGTGGAATAATGATTTGCTGGAAATTTAACAACACAGGGTCAAGTCTATTTAACATTTAATAAATGGCTATAGCGCTATTTTTGGGATAAAATGACAAACTGACAACTGAATTGACGACTAACGTTTGCCATCAAATTTGAAGGGAAATGGTCAATCGCTTCCAAACCTGGTACCCATTTGGCAACATTTTGGTCCGCACCCTGTATAACTGAAATGGATATTGTAATTGAATATCAGTAATTGATACCTGTATTAGTGGCAAACGTAGCCAGCCCTGACATGCTTTCCATGTCATGAGATTTTGGACAAGCACAAAGCATTATAGAAAAATATAAAACGAGAGAGAACATCAGTTTCTCCGTTGTTATTAGTAGTTAGCTAATCTTACCTCTAACCATTGAGATAACTTCACGTTAGCTCCGGTCTACACACGCGATTCGTACTGAGCTCCGTTTAACGTCCTTAGTTGTTTGATGTGTAACTACTGGTTTTACTGTGGGATACTTACTGTACGAATATTTTTGCAGGGAATTTCAGAACTGTGAAAGGCGTTTGGTGAAATGTATTTTCGAATGTATCATCAGTTCCGCGTGCATTCAATCTATTAGGAGCTCGAATACACGAAAAGATATGTAACACTGAATTTTTCTAACACCTACTTCACATAAATTTATAATTCTCTGCAATCTTTAACTTTAGTATAAGATTTCTATTTCGGAAATCTAAAAGTAATGCGATTTTTACTGAATGGATACCGCAAAATAATCCACTATATAAGTCATTTAGTGTAATTTGAGAGAATATATTTTCAGATTTTCTTTATGCATAATTTCCAAATTCTTACAGGAAAATAAACACTGAGAAGTTCATTCGTCTTTAACATACATATTATAATCAATTTCTAACAATGTAATTAAACCATTGAAAAAAAAGTGCTTTGAGTACTACATACCTGAACCTCCTGATTGCGCACCAAATCCCATTGCACCTGAACCACCTAAAAGGAACAAATAAGCAGCAGTTATCGATTTTAAAACTTTAGGTGTATTGTGATGAGACTGTTCTTCTTAAAAAGACTAAATCCTGTAATCTGAAGAACAATAACTTAGTTTTCAGTTTACGCACGTACATGACACGTACCTAATAGTACACGCCGGTTTTCCTTCAATAAGAGCCAACTCTGCGAGTTAATTGTATCTAGCTTTGCCTGATTAATTGTGTTTAGTATTAATAAAATTTATTTTTTCTATTTTAAATTAAAGCCCAAACAGAGTTTTATTGTACGCCCTAGAGGAACAATATATTTATTCATCTTTGGTTGGAATAAAAGGGTAAATTATCTTTTATTTAATCTTGTTACATACACTAGAAGAACTAATGAAAGCACTGAACAAGATTTGCTTTGAGTACTACATACCTGAACCTCCTGATTGCGCACCAAATCCCATTGCACTTGAACCACCTAAAGTAAACGAATAAAATAAACAGGGTAAAGTGTCTATTTAACATTAAATGGCTATCGTGCTATTTTCGCGACATAATGACAAACTGACAACTGAATTGGCAACTAACTTTTGTCATCAAATTTGACGGTAAATTGTCAATCGCTTCCAAACCTGGTACCCATTTGGCAACATTTTGGTCCGCACCCTGTATAACTGAAATGGATATTGTAATTGAATATCAGTAATTGATGCCTGTATTAGTGGCAAACGTAGCCGGCCCTCACATGCTTCCCATGTCAGAAAGATTTCGACAAGCACAAAGCATTATAGAAAAATATAAAACGAGAGAGAACATCAGTTTCTCCGTTGTTATTAGTAGTTAGCTAATGTTACCTCTAACCATTGAGATAACTTCACGTTAGCTCCGCTCTACACACGCGATTCGTACTGAGCTCCGTTTAACGTCCTTAGTTGTTTGATGTGTAACTACTGGTTTTACTGTGGGATACTTACTGTAGCGAATGTTTTTGCAGGGAATTTCAGAACTGTGAAAGGCGTTTTTGGTGAAATGTATTTCGAATGTATCATCAGTTCCGCGTGCATTCAATCTATTAGGAGCTCGAATACACGAAAAGATATGTAACACTGAATTTTTCTAACACCTACTTCACATAAATTTATAATTCTCTGCAATCTTAACTTTAGTATAAGATTTCTATTTCGGAAATCTAAAAGTAATGCGATTTTTACTGAATGGATACCGCAAAAATAATCCACTATATAAGTCATTTAGTGTAATTTGAGAGAATATATTTTCAGATTTTCTTTATGCATAATTTCCAAATTCTTACAGGAAAATAAACACTGAGAAGTTCATTCGTCTTTAACATACATATTATAATCAATTTCTAACAATGTAATTAAACCATTGAAAAAAAAGTGCTTTGAGTACTACATACCTGAACCTCCTGATTGCGCACCAAATCCCATTGCACCTGAACCACCTAAAAGGAACAAATAAGCAGCAGTTATCGATTTTAAAACTTTAGGTGTATTGTGATGAGACTGTTCTTCTTAAAAAGACTAAATCCTGTAATCTGAAGAACAATAACTTAGTTTTCAGTTTACGCACGTACATGACACGTACCTAATAGTACACGCCGGTTTTCCTTCAATAAGAGCCAACTCTGCGAGTTAATTGTATCTAGCCTTGCCTGATTAATTGTGTTTAGTATTAATAAAATTTATTTTTTCTATTTTAAAATTAAATCCCAAACAGAGTTTTATTGTACGCCCTAGAGGAACAATATATTTATTCATCTTTGGTTGGAATAAAAGGGTAAATTATCTTTTATTTAATCTTGTTACATACACTAGAAGAACTAATGAAAGCACTGAACAAGATTTGCTTTGAGTACTACATACCTGAACCTCCTGATTGCGCACCAAATCCCATTGCACTTGAACCACCTAAAGTAAACAAATAAAATAAACAGGGTAAAGTGTCTATTTAACATTAAATGGCTATCGTGCTATTTTCGCGACATAATGACAAACTGACAACTGAATTGGCAACTAACTTTTGTCATCAAATTTGACGGTAAATTGTCAATCGCTTCCAAACCTGGTACCCATTTGGCAACATTTTGGTCCGCACCCTGTATAACTGAAATGGATATTGTAATTGAATATCAGTAATTGATGCCTGTATTAGTGGCAAACGTAGCCGGCCCTCACATGCTTCCCATGTCAGAAAGATTTCGACAAGCACAAAGCATTATAGAAAAATATAAAACGAGAGAGAACATCAGTTTCTCCGTTGTTATTAGTAGTTAGCTAATGTTACCTCTAACCATTGAGATAACTTCACGTTAGCTCCGCTCTACACACGCGATTCGTACTGAGCTCCGTTTAACGTCCTTAGTTGTTTGATGTGTAACTACTGGTTTTACTGTGGGATACTTACTGTACGAATATTTTTGCAGGGAATTTCAGAACTGTGAAAGGCGTTTTTGGTGAAATGTATTTTCGAATGTATCATCAGTTCCGCGTGCATTCAATCTATTAGGAGCTCGAATACACGAAAAGATATGTAACACTGAATTTTTCTAACACCTACTTCACATAAATTTATAATTCTCTGCAATCTTTAACTTTAGTATAAGATTTCTATTTCGGAAATCTAAAAGTAATGCGATTTTTACTGAATGGATACCGCAAAATAATCCACTATATAAGTCATTTAGTGTAATTTGAGAGAATATTTTCAGATTTTCTTATGCATAATTTCCAAATTCTTACAGGAAATAAACACTGAGAAGTTCATTCGTCTTTAACATACATATTATAATCAATTTCTAACAATGTAATTAAACATTGAAAAAAAAGTGCTTTGAGTACTACATACCTGAACCTCCTGATTGCGCACCAAATCCCATTGACACCTGAACCACCTAAAAGGAACAAATAAGCAGCAGTTAGTTATCGATTTTAAAACTTTAGGTGTATTGTGATGAGACTGTTCTTCTTAAAAAGACTAAATCCTGTAATCTGAAGAACAATAACTTAGTTTTCAGTTTACGCACGTACATGACACTTACCTAATAGTACACGCCGGTTTTCCTTCAATAAGAGCCAACTCTGCGAGTTAATTGTATCTAGCTTTGCCTGATTGTGTTTAGTATTAATAAAATTTATTTTTTCTATTTTAAATTAAATCCCAAACAGAGTTTTATTGTACGCCCTAGAGGAACAATATATTTATTCATCTTTGGTTGGAATAAAAGGGTAAATTATCTTTTATTTAATCTTGTTACATACACTAGAAGAACTAATGAAAGCACTGAACAAGATTTGCTTTGAGTACTACATACCTGAACCTCCTGATTGCGCACCAAATCCCATTGCACTTGAACCACCTAAAGTAAACAAATAAAATAAACAGGGTAAAGTGTCTATTTAACATTAAATGGCTATCGTGCTATTTCGCGACATAATGACAAACTGACAAACTGAATTGGCAACTAACTTTTGTCATCAAATTTGACGGTAAATTGTCAATCGCTCAAACCTGGTACCCATTTGGAACATTTGGTGGTTACGCACCCTGTATAAACTGAAATGGATATTGTAATTGAATATCAGTAATTGATGCCTGTATTAGTGGCAAACGTAGCCGGCCCTCACATGCTTCCCATGTCAGAAAGATTTCGACAAGCACAAAGCATTATAGAAAAATATAAAACGAGAGAGAAACATCAGTTTCTCCGTTGTTATTAGTAGTTAGCTAATGTTACTCTAACCATTGAGATAAACTTCACGTTAGCTCCGCTCTACACACGCGATTCGTACTGAGCTCCGTTTTAACGTCCTTAGTTGTTTGATGTGTAACTACTGGTTTTTACTGTGGGATACTTACCGTACGAATATTTTTGCAGGGAATTTCAGAAACTGTGAAAGGCGTTTTTGGTGAAATGTATTTTCGAATGTATCATCAGTTCCGCGTGCATTCAATCTATTAGGAGCTCGAATACACGAAAAGATATTAACACTGAATTTTTCTAACACCTACTTCACATAATTTATAATTCTCTGCATCTTTAACTTTAGTATAAGATTCTATTTCGGAAATCTAAAGTAATGCGATTTTTACTGAAGGATACCGCAAAATAATCCACTATAAAGTCATTTAGTGTAATTTGAGAGATATATTTTCAGTTTTCTTTATGCATAATTTCCAATTCTTACAGGAAATAAACACTGAGAAGTCATTCGTCTTAAACATACATATTATAATCAATTTCTAACAATGTAATTAAACCATTGAAAAAAGTGCTTGAGTACTACATACCTGAACCTCCTGATTGCGCACCAAATCCCATTTGCACCTGAACCACCTAAAAGGAACAAATAAGCAGCAGTTATGATTTTAAAACTTTAGGTGATTGTGATGAGACTGTTCTTCTTAAAAAGACTAAATCCTGTAATCTGAGAACAAACTTAGTTTTCAGTTTACGCACGTACATGACACGTACCTAATAGTACACGCGGTTTTCCTTCATAAGAGCCAACTCTGCGAGTTAATTGTATCTATTTGCCTGATTTGGTTTAGTATTATAAAATTTATTTTTTCTATTTTAATTAAATCCCAAACAGAGTTATTGTACGCCCTAGAGGAACAAATATTTATTCATCTTGGTTGAATAAAGGGTAAATTATCTTTATTTAATCTTGTTACATACACTAGAAGAACTAATGAAAGCACTGAACAAGATTTGCTTTGAGTACTACATACCTGAACCTCCTGATTGCGCACCAAATCCCATTGCACTTGAACCACCTAAAGTAAACAAATAAAAATAACAGGGTAAAGTGTCTATTTAACATTAAATGGCTATCGTGCTATTTTCGCGACATAATGACAACTGACACTGAATTGGCAACTACTTTTGTCATCAAATTTGACGGTAAATTGTCAATCCTTCCAACCTGGTACCCATTTGGCAACATTTTGCGTCGCACCCTGTATAACTGAAATGGATATTGTATTGAATATCAGTAATTGGCCTGTATTAGTGGCAAACGTAGCCGGCCCTCACTGCTTCCCATGTCAGAAAGATTTCGACAAGCACAAAGCATTATAAAAATATAAAACGAGAGAGAACATCAGTTTCCGTTGTTATTAGTAGTTAGCTAATGTTACCTCAACCGTTGAGAACTTCACGTTAGCTCCGCTCTACAGAGCGATTCGTACTGAGGCTCCGTTTAACGTCCTTAGTGTTTGGTGTAACTCTGGTTTTACTGTGGGATACTTACCGTACGAACACTTTTGCAGGGAATTTCAGAACGGTGAAAGCGTTTTTGGGAATGAATGTATTTTCGCATGTATCATCAGTTCCGCGTGCATCAATCTATTAGGACTCGAATACACGAAAAGATATGTAACACTGAATTTCTAACACCTACTTCACATAAATTTATAATTCTCTGCAATCTTTAACTTTAGTATAAGATTCTATTCGGAAATCTAAAAGTAATGCGATTTTACTGATGGATACCGCAAAATAATCCACTATATAAGTTCATTTAGTGTTTGAGAGAATTATTTTCAGACTTTCTGTATGCATAATTTCCAAATTCTTACAGGAAATAAACACTGAGAAGTTCATTCGTCTTTAACATACATATTATAAATTTCTGACAATGTAATTAAACCATTGAAAAAAAAAGTGCTTTGAGTACTACATACCTGAACCTCCTGATTGCGCACCAAATCCCATTGCACCTGAACCACCTAAAAGGAAAAAATATGCAGCAGTTATCGATTTTAAATCTTTAGGTGTATTGTGATGAGACTGTTCTTCTTGAAAAGACTAAATCCTGTAATCTGAAGGGTGTCCGCCGATAACATCGCGGCAAAAACATCGTGGACGAAAACGTCGCGGAGAAAACAACGCAAGGTAAAAAAAAGTCGTGCTACAAACAGTGGAGAAAACATCGCAAAGAGAAAAATCGGTTCTAAAACATCTGGTACAAAACATCGTCGTCGAAAGTAAAGCGGTTCAAAAACATTGCAGTTTAAAAACATCGTCGTCGAAAAATCGTGGTAAAAAATAAAGTATCTACAAATCATCGCATGACGATAACATCGCAGACATGCTTTTTCAGGTTTAATAATTGTTAATGGATATTCCCATAATGATTTGTGAGCGCAAGGTGTAAAGAAGGATAAATTTACTTTGACATATTTTATTAACTAATAAAATTTTGCTGAAAAAAAGTACGAAGGAAACTTAAGCATAGGAAAATTAAATGTAACTTATAGATATACTTTTCATGAAAGATTACCAGTAAAAACTTATAAAAATGATTTATTAATGGCCTTTGTTAGTTAACTATTGAGGTTTAAAACTCTATTAAGTGTTATAGTTGCATTAATTTTTTTATGCTTAAGTTTTCTTTTTATTTCTCAGCAAAAAATTATTAATTAATAAAAAATCTGAAAGTAAAAATTATCCTTCTTTCCATCTTGCGCTCACAAATCATTATGGGAATATCCATTTACACTTATTAAAGCATGTCTGAAAAAAGCATGTCTGCGATGTTATCGTCATGCGATGATTTGTAGATACTTTATTTTTTACCACGATATTTTCAACGACGATGTTTTTAAACTGCGATGTTTTTGAACCGCTTTATTTTCGACGACGATGTTTTGTACCACGATGTTTTAGAACTGCGATGTTTTCTCTTTGCGATGTTTTCTCCCCCGATGTTTTGTAGCACGACGTTTTCGCCTTGCGTTGTTTTCTCCGCGACATTTTCGTCTGCGATGTTTTCGGCTGTAACCATCTGAAGAACTATAAATTAGTTTTCAGTTTACGGACGTACATGACATGTACCTAATAGTACACTCCGGTTTTCCTTCAATATGAGCCAACTCTGCGAGTTAAATGTATCCTAGCTTTGCCTGATTAATTGTGTTTAGTATTAATAAAATTTATTGTTTTTATTATAAATTAAAGCCCAAACAGAGAGTTATTGTATGCCACAGAGGAACAATCTATTTATTCATCTTTGGTTGGAATAAAAGGGTAAATTAACCTTCATATAATCTTGTTACATACACTAGAAGAACTCAGCGAATTGTGTTTACAAATTTCGTCAGTATTCTAGCTTACGAGGAACTCTGGTTTAGCTAGAACATTAAAACCTCATTTCTGTAACACTATATGAGAAATTTGTGACATATCTTGGAATTGCGGTTTTTAGTAAGTAGGCATATCTGTACCAGTCTTTAAAACGTTTCGGCAGCTTATCCGTAGTCGATATTTGGCAATAATTTTTGCTTAACTTAATTTTAGTATAAGATTTCAATTTCGGAATACTAATGCGATTAATACTAAATGGACCCGCATCATATTTCACTATTCGCATTTAATATAATTTGAGTGAATATATTTCCAGACATTTTTATGCATTTTTTTTTTTTTTCGAAATTCTTGCAGGAAAATAAAAATTGAAAACTTCATTTGTCCTTAACATACACAGTATTATAAATTTTTGACATCTTAAGAAAACCATTGAACATAATATTCTTTGAGTACTACTTACCTGCACGTCCTGAATCCACACCAAATCCCCATGCTCCGGATTCACCTAAAATTAAAAAATGGGCAGGAGCTATAGCTTTCAATATTTTAGGTTTCTTGTTATTAAAATGCTTCTATTTAATAAGAATTAATACAGAGACCTAAAGAGCAATATATTAATGTCCATTTTACGGCGTACGTAATACGTGCCTACTCACATATGCGGGTTATCCTTCAAAAAGTGAAAACTCGGCGAGTTAATTGTGTCCTACTTCGCTTATTAATTGTATATTGTTGTTGTTACTTTTATACTTTCTATTTCAGATTAAAGTTCAAATGGAGGTTTATTTACGCCCCAGAGCAATCATCTATTTATTTCATCTTCGGTGGGGATAAAAGTGTAAAGTAACATTTCTTTGTACTTATAAAATAATATGTTAACCGTGAAGATTTCACGTTATCCTGGTTCAAGAAACAATAATTCAATTCAAAACGCACAAATCACCAAAGTAAATGAACTTTGCGAATCAGTTTGCATATTCAAGTCTAACAGACATTCAGCTGACCCTGCCAGTTCCAAGAACAAGAAGTATACTTCTAGAGAGATTTACGCCTTCTTTGGCGATTAAAATATATTTCCCCCCCAAAAAAAAAATTCTTACGCACTGAGCCCGGCTGAACAGTAGTTGAGAACAATCAAGGTTATCAGTGATACATGAATATTTTCAAGAAATATTTTCTAGAATCATTATGCATTTCAATACAAATTCAAGTTTTTGTAATCAAGAAATGTCACATAAACATCAATAACATGTAAAACTTATCATATGTTTCAAGAATATCAAGTAAATTTTCATTCATCAAGAATTATTGTTATAACATTCCTGTTCAAGCACCAGGAATTTAAATCAAGAATTTATATAACTCAAGATAATAGTAAACAAATAACATTTCAAAATCAAGATTATCATAATTCAAGAAAAATACTAGAATTATTTACTGAACTATTACAAGAAACCTGTATTTTTTTTTTTTTTCAGAATTAAACTAAATTTTTTAAATAGACTTATACATTTCTACAACCTTAAAATTTTCTAATATATACATTTCTTAAATATTAAATATACAATCATTTAAATATTAAGCATAGATACACAATATTGGTAGCATTAAGATTACACTTTTAGTAAGAAATATACAATCACATAATATTAATACTCTTAGCACTCTAACTCTAGATAAAGGTAAAGATGCTATGACTTGTCGCATCTGTCGGGAGTTATAACGCTGACACAGTACACTGTTTCTTATAAGACGATTCAAATTTTTTCTGGATCTAATTATCCAATATATTTCAAGGAGAAACATGAGAGTACTAGCTACACCAGTCTGAAGAACTTGTTTATTTGCATCACGTACCAAAAGATCTGTAAAATGAGTTTTTGAAGGAATAATTATAGGATGCTTTTCAGGAAAACTTAAAGTTGATTTTTCTAATCACCCTCCTACTAACAAAACACTTTCCTCACTTAGAAAAGGATTTAGTTCATAAACGTTTGAGATTTTGAAATCAACTGTCCAGACTTTAAACTACAGTCAAAAGTCATTAATTCGGACACCCATAATCCAGAATGATCTATAATCCGGACCTCAAAGCTACAAACTTTCTGCGCATGAGTCGCGTTGACGTATGCGCATAGGCGTTTACGCGTGCGAGTAAGACCTTTACGGTTGCGAATATGCGTGTGCGCATGCGCATAATACGTTTATGCACGCGCGTTTAATTTATAACGGATGGTATAAGCTAAGCTAAAATTATCTAATTCAGTTAATGTTGCAGATTGTGTTGTTCCTTAATCTTCGAATTGAATCCGGCTTATTATTTTTTGCAGACTGTTACAGCAATTTTATAAAAGTATGTTTTAACTTTCGATTATGTCAAATAGAATTTCCGATATATATTTACTAATATGTAAAGGATTTACAAAGCGAAAGTATGTTTCGAAGTCGTTTAAACAGAAAGTGGAATTGCTGCAAAAAATGGATAAAGGCATACCTTTGATTATCTAATCATTCCGAAATATGTTTATCAATTTCACGCTGCTCTGCGGGGGGAGGGAAACGACGCGGCGCGCAATGAATTGGAAGTTGATCTGTCAGCACCAGATCAGATCTTCAGGGCAGATGTTTTTATTTTATTTGGCTTATAATTCCTTACTAAATGTAGTATTACATCCCGATGTACTCCATCTTTGATATGATTTAAATCAAGTTCTTCGTCATTATAATTCGCTTCCGATAGTGAAGAAAGTGACACAGAGGTTATAGGAACCGAAAAAATTTCGATTCACAAATTAGTCGGTATTCTCGGCGGACAATTATAGGACTTGAACAGCGGAACTTTGTAATAGAACAAGAAATTATGTCTGTTTAATAGAATTAAAGAGAAAGTATTATCACATGAAACGAAGCAACTGTCATATCCTTCTTTTTCTTGGGCGTGTAGCTTCTGGATATGTATTTACTTCCTACCGTAGACGTATCGTATTGTGTGCGTTGCATAAAACAGCCATTTTAACGGCACAAAACTTTATTAACACACAATAAAAATATATAAGTACACAACGATGAACACACAAGTATCACTTCGTTTCTTGCATCTAAGCTGACATACAACACATTTCCTTCGTTACTTCGCTACTACCTACTACTAACTACTCTTCTCTAGTAAGTCTCATGAGAGAGAGGCGTTGCAGGCCGTTCGGCTAAACTGCGCATGCGTGGTCATCACGTCATGACACCCTCCCTCGAAAAGATTTGATTGCGTCTTTCAATGACCTGTCAAATCCACATATAAACATTTCTTGAAACAAAATAAAATAACATCCATGAATTTTCGAACTTAATTACCAATTCTTACCATTTTAAATTAAATTACTTCAACATAAATTCAGTAATCCTATTCATTTAAAAAAATGTAACATTCAATTAACATTTCAAACTTAAATCCTTCACATAATCATAACCATATAAGCAGTTATATAAACGAGGCAATACAAATCAATCATTAACGTTAAACATAATACTTTAGCAAACCCTCGCTAAATCTTTAAACCTATTACATAACGTTAGAAAAAAATTTAGCATTTTAGCTAAAAAAAAAAAATCAAACTAAACAGTCAAACTGTCTTATAGTTCATAGTTCATAACGTTAGTCATGCTCCACTCACTGGGGAATATTATCATGTCATTTTAAGTCACGTCATCAATAAACTCAGCATGATATTTTAGTCTACACATGTTACCGTTATATTTTGTTGACACATAAACTACTGGATGCACTTATTCACTTTCTGATTCAACGATTAGCTTTAGCTGTAAAAGCTTATCTATTTGACGATCAGCTTCATTTCTTAGAACTTCAGGTATTCGATACGGTTTCTGCTTTCCTGGCATACTTCCAGGTTTCAGTTTGATGCTGTGTTCTCACACATTGGCGATTTTCGGAATACCAGTTCTTAGGTTCTTATGCCTTCTTAAAATCTCCATAAGTTCTTTCTTCTTATGCGGTTCAAGGTGTGTAAAATCACATTCCTCATTAGAATAGTGTTCTTTTGCTTTCCGTGGAACAATTCTTGGAACGTTTTCAACTTTCAACTTCGCCGAAATCAATATCTGTATCATATATCACACCGACATTATTCACAGCGGTATTGAACTCCTCGTATCTTGTTTGCGTGAACGTGCTTCGATGAATTGTCAGGCATTTGTACTATGTAACTATAATCAGTATGCTTTTTGATGATCGTAGCAGGTCCCGTCCATCTGGCATAAACTTTGTTTTGACTACCAGGGATTAAAACTATAACCCTGTCCCCTTCCTTGAATTCTTTATGACGAGTCTTTCGGTTACGGTAGAATGTATAAGCTTGTTGCTTTCCAACATCTGTACGTCCTGCGTATTCAGCAGCTTTTTCCAATTTCGTCTTCAAATCATTCAGATAATCGGTAACTGAACTTAACTGTCCATGAGGAACAGGAGTTTCATTAGTCCATGACGATTTCAAAATAGACAAACGGGCCATTAGGACGTCTTCCATAAAGCATTTGGAAACGGACTAACACCAGTCGTAGCATTAGGAACTTCTCGGTAAGCCCAAAGTAAATACGGTAGATGTTTCTCTCCCAATCTTTCGAAGTGTTCTCTAACGGTATGATGTATCATTCCCTTTAAAACAGCATTAAATATTTCTTTCTACCAGGCCATTTGAACTTGGATGATAAGGAGTCGAGAACCTTGGGGACGATCCGATCCTTTTCAAAAACTCTTGGGTCAACGAAGCAGTAAAATTAGTTCCTTGATCTGAAGCAACAATTTGAGGAATTCCTGTGCGTGAAAGGATTTGCAACAATGCATCGCATGTTGCTTTGGCTTTTCATTCAAATTCTTCAATGGCAAACACCGCTTCGGGCCACCTTGTACATTGATCAACAGCACACAGAACATATTTGTAACCTCTACAGCTTGGCTCTACAGGTCCTAGGATATCCACATTAATTACCTGGAATGGTTCTTTAGGACGTGTTACTGGCGTAATCGGAACTTCATCAAAGGGAACGCTTTTTTCGCTTGAAGTTGACAAGAAGTACAAGCACTGCAGTATTCATTTCACATCTTCTTTCTTGATTTCAGGCCAATAGAACGAATATCTCAAACGTTCGGCTGTCTTCTTGGTTCGCAGGTGGCTTCCCCATAAGCTAGAATGAGCTAAGTCCAAAATCTGTTTTCTTCTTTCTTTGGGTACGACCAACTGGTAAACTCTTTCTCCTAGAACTTTATCTTTATGATACAAAAATTTGTCAATAACAATAAAGTTATTACTTCCGTTCTTAACATTTTGCCAGCATGTTTTTAAAGATGGGTCATTCATTTGTTGCACTCGAAACAGTTCTGAATCCGAAGCACATTGATCGTGTCCCGGGCTACCTTTGGAATCATCCTTACCTGTATCTTCATATACAAGCGCACAACATTCTATTATCTTCTTAACAGTTTCATTACATTATTCATTAATTAGGTTTTCCCTATCATGGTTAAGTATTTCGTCAAAATTTTCAGTTTCATGAAAAGGCATTTCACCGAAACTATCAGTAGCAATGTTTACATTTTTACATTCAAAATTAAACTTTCTTTTATCATCTCCCCTTAACTCATTAAAAGTACTTAACGACAAGAGTAAATCATTACATAACTTATCCACCATTGCACATGTTATAAAAATAGGTGACATAAATTTATCATTTTCAGAATATATTACTAAAGGTAGGTTAATGAGAGGAGCTTTTAAAGCTTGTCCGAAAGCTGACGTGAGGATAACACTTCCATGTGGCGTACGGTATTTTTCTGGTACAATATCGGTCTTGACAACGGTCAATTGCGTGCCTGTATCTGCTACTGCATTAATTAATTTACCATCACATATAAGTTTAACGGTTGGCAAGTCATCTATTAATTATTTAACCTCTTGATTCGCAGTAAAATATTTAGAAGAAATCTTTGCAGTTACGGCGTTAGAATTATTCTTAATTTCTTCTTTAGCAACCCTTTCCCTTATCTTCATTCAACAATATATTATGATACTTAGAATTACATTTTGAACATTTTAATTGAGAAGGGCAATTTTTTATTCTACAATTCCCTTTCGAAACAAAGAAAGCACCGATTAGAAGCCCTTTTAAACTCTTTTTTTCCTTTCTTCCGGGAGACATAACGCATTTTTCTGAAAGCATGATTTTCGCTTTCGCAAAACATAAGCAAGGGAAAGTTCGAACAACTGCAATTTTGCTTACATTAGGGGAATAGCTGGCGCCAAATTTGTTGGCGTTGAATGAATTCCGAGTGTGGAAGTTGTTTCGCTTTTCATTTGGGTTGTGAATGCCTTCCAAGAGAATTAGCGTGACTCTTAGAATAAAATAGATTTAATGAAGTTCGTTCGCGACTTTCAATTTCCCGTTTTAGAAATTTCATGAGGTTATCGACATTAAAAGTTTCCTCATCTGTGCGTTTTGACGAGCAAAATCAAGCGTTATATCCTGAGGTATGCATTTCATTAACAAAGGGTATAGTAAATTTCCATACGATTGGGTCTTGACCCCTATCGAATTTAGTGACCTTACTTGTACGTTGCAGGTATCATATAATTCCCTCAAAGAATTAATGTCATTAGAACTTCGGACAGGCCGTAAATTTAAAAGTTTATGCATGTAAGAATTAATAAGGAGATCTTTTCGACCATACCTCTCTTTACGAAGAATACGAAGAATTTTAAAAGCTTCGTCGTAGTTTTCTGGAGATAAAGAAAAGCCTTCTATTGTTTTTAAAGCTGCACCGCCTAACAGGCTACGCAAGTAATTAAACTTATCTACTTTAGATAGTTTTAGGTTTTGATTTATTGGCGTCTCAAAAGAATTGTAAAATGTCTGCCACATTTCAGCATTTCCATAAAATTTATCAATCATAATCTTCGGCAATTTAACATTATAATCAGAACTTTTATCGACACCAGAAATAGATAAATTGTTACTATCATTAGAAGAACCATTAGAAACTAGCGAACTATTGCTATTTCGTTTTCTTTCAATAATTTTGTGCCTCTAAAGCTCCTATTTCGAAATTTTTTCTTCGTCTTCCAAGGCACTTTCGATTTCGGTTTCAATGTCATTAACATCAGTCAAAGTTTTAATTTTTTCGTCTAACGCTTTCAAAGAAATAGCTTTTACTTTTAAACTTTCCAGTGATTCTTCAAGGTCTTCAAGGTTACCGGCTGCAATTAATGATTCAATAGCATTTGTTACTTTAGTAATGGCTGAACGAATAATTTTCCGTTCTTTCTTAGATTTCGTTAGCTCTTCAGCCATTTTTGTAACCTTGAATTCCACTTTACCACAAAATAAATTGAACAAATTTCTTACCTTTCTGAAGACTCACTTACGCATTTATCCGTGAACTTTGCAGAATAACATATCCTCCTGTTCTGACACCACTGTCATATCCTTCTTTTTCTTGGGCGTGTAGCTTCTGGATATGTATTTACTTCCTACCGTAGAGTAACGTATCGTATTGTGTGCGTTGCATAAAACAGCCATTTTAACAGCACAAAACTTTATTAACACACAAATAAAAATAATAAGTACAAACGATGAACACACAAGTATCACTTCGTTTCTTGCATCTAAGCTGACACACAACACATTTCCTTCGTTACTTCGCTACTACCTACTAACTACTCTTCTCTAGTAAGTCTCATGAGAGAGAGGCGTTGCAGGCCGTTCGGCTAAACTGCGCATGCGTGGTCATCACGTCATGACAGCAACTTAAACAACTTACATGAAAAGAAATGTTTAATAAAGTAAACAAATAAATATTAAGCTTTTCCTTTTTGTAAATTTTGATACCCTTTAGATCATAATTGTTCTTTATTTCATAAATTACGGTTTCATATTTTTAATTTTATAATTTCTGCATGCCATCTTACCAGATTTAAACTGATGATCTATAATCCGGAAAAATCGATAATCCAGAATCGTCGAAGTCCCGACGAGTCCGGATTAACGACTTTTGACTGTATTAATTTCATCAGAAAAATGCCCATATTGAACTACTTTTATCAAATATATTTCTGCGGCAGAGTTCTTCTGCAATCAAGGGTCCTGTTTTCTTGTCAGTTTTATTTTTCAGATTGTAAATAAATCTAAATATCCATGCAGACATGCTAATAGCTCTAATTAATTTACTTTAATTTTCAAGATTCAACAAAGAATTTGAGTTTTCTGCAATAGACGGTAATATTGTGGTATAATTTATACACTTTATGCTCTGTTTCATTATCAGAAAACTCCGTCGTCACAATAAATATACTAGGCCAAGCAGTCACTGATTCAACTAACCGGTCTGGTCAAAACTGTCATAATCTTAAAAACAACAAATATTCGACTGAACTTCCTCGAGATAAAATAATCTCTGAATTTTACTTCCCATTAGAATGCCTCCAGTTATTTGGGCAAGTTAATGATTCTATTTATGATACTCGATTTTTTACAAGCATTTTCCATCGTCAAGAGCATTATGAATCCTCTGAACCACTATCATACTATCAGTCCACAGATAGATATTTTCATGAACTGAAAACAGATCTTTTAAATTTTTGGCAGGTCTTGCCGATGTTAATGCTCCTAACAATTCTAGCCTGGGAAGTGTGAGTTTTTGTTTTATTGGTGCAATTCTAGATTTTGCCATAATGAATGCTGCCTGCCCTTCTTCAACAGATCTAAAATACGCAACTCAAACGTACGCTTTGATAGATGCATCACAAAATAAATGCCGTTCGATGTCTTTATTTTGATTCAATTTGCCGGGGAAATATTCTCGAGAAATTTGCAGTTTCTTTAATTTTTCGATTTCACCACTCTACTCAGACCACAACTGTTTACAATCATTTGGAACCTCGTCGTCAAATTCTATACCCAACTGCAAAAGGTTCTGCATTATCAATTTTGCACGTAATACAAATGGCGCGAAGAAAACTACTGGATGGAAAATAGTAACAGTCACCTTTAATATATTTCTTTTTGTGGTGTTTCTACAACTATTTAATGTTTCACACAAGTTCTCTATGTTCAAGGAAATTACATTTGTACTCGTAAAACAATTAAGCCCAAATACTTTTAAGGAGCTATTTAGTTCATTTTTCTCATTTAATTATTCCACTATCAACCCAAAGTTTTTTTGAGTTTCTCTGAATTAGTATTAAACTAACGCAAATTAGTTCGTGTATTTTTAAGCACGCAATAGGCTCCAGTACTTAACTTAAAAGCCTGTTCTACGGAATCTGCCCCAAAGAAAATATCATCTACGTAGACCGAGCAGTTCAACATCTCAAAAATATCTGGATTTTCTATTTTCTTTATATGCTTTTTTATAGTACATGCCAGAATGAAAGTGTTACATGACACACCAAAAGCAACGCGAGTCATTCTATAACGTTTAAAATTGTAATTATTATCAAAGTATAAAAACCGCAATATCTCTATCAATTTACGACTATTTTTGCAGAAAATTTCAGAACTGTGAAGGGATTTTTTGGCAAAATATAGCTTATCAAGCTATTATCAGTTCTGTGTGCATTCAATCCTATAAGAGAATGAATGCACGCAACAATATATAAAACTGAATTTTTCTGACACGTCTTTCACATAAATGCATAATCCCTGCAATCGTTAACTTTAGTACAAGAGTTCTGTTTGGAAAGCCTAACACTAATATTACTTATGATGCAGAATGGTTACTGCATCATAATTAAGTGTAGTAAACATTTAAAATAATTTGCACGAATATATTTCCAGATTTATTATGTGCATATTTTCGAAATACTTACAGGACAATAACGACAGAGAAGTTCATTCGTCTTTAATATACATATAAGAATCAATTACTGAAAATGTAATAAAAGCAATGGACAAAATTTTCTTTGTGTACTACATACCTGAAGCTCCTGATTGACCACCAGCTCCCACTGCACCTGAAACTCCCATTGCACCTAAAATGAACAAATATACAGAAGTTAACGGTTTTAAAATTTTAGGTGTATTGTGATGAAATTCTTCTTTTTAAAATTTTATTTAGTCTGTAGGGTTTATATTTATTTCAACTAGCATTTATTTTAAGTTTAAACTATCTTTCCTGTCAAGCCTTACTTTCCCCTGGAACTGCCAATGCCAGAGTATGTAAATTTTAGTAGAACGCGCAAGGATTCAAATTATCAGCGGAAGTATTCTGAGTTAAATAGAAAGAAAACGAGTTCGAGGTGTGCTGTTCGTACTTCACGAGCGCGGAGGTAGTTAGCCAGAAATTGAAGAATCCCGCGTTTCGGCCTGTGTGCTTGCCTCGGAGAATTGTTAATCGTTCAACGTGATATTCAAAGTTTGCTGAATTAGCAGCGGTATTGTAAAACGCGGTGAGGTTAGTTACTTTTAGAGAGCCTCGTAGTTAGAGTCTTGTTATTATTTCTTTTCAGGTTCTTATTTTTATTTTACCGCCGGGTCGGGACTTGCTTTACAGATTTCCCCTCTCTCGTTCTTAAGGTACAATACGACTCCTTTGATTTCCTGAATAACATAGGGGCCTTCAAATTTTGGAGCTAACTTTACAGTAAAATTGTCTGGGCACTTGATAAAGAAAATTTCCACTTCAATACTTTATCCCCAACTTTAAAATCTGCTTCACGGCGTTTTCTATCGTAATACACTTTTTGCTTATTTCTTGCCGTATCCGAGCTTTTAAGCGCCTTATCAATAAGTTTTTGCACATCTTTCTGTTTAAACTCTTGCTCTCTTTGTTGCACAAAGAATAATTTATCTAAAGGCGTAATTAACTTTCGGCTTAAAAATAATTCTGCTGGGGTTTTTTTCCGTAGTGTCGTGATTTGCCGTTCTTAAAGCATAAGCTAATTCATTTTTGTAGCCATCCCAGCGCTTGTGATGTGTGCTAACGTAACTGCGAATTATTTTTACGATGTTTTTATTCACTCTTTCTGCTATGTTTGCATGTGGTCTATACGGAACCATTTTGATATGGCGTATGCCAAGTCCAGTGCATATGTTTTCAAATATTTGGCTAATGAATTGTTTTCCGTTATCGCTAATGACTTTTATCGGTGCACCGTATTTTAAAATGTATCTGTGTAAGAATGCCATCTGCGACTGTTTTGGCTGACGCGCGTTTAAGTGGAACAATTTCTGTCCATTTTGAAAAATGATCTACTATTACTAAAAGAAAACGATTTTTATTAACTCGCTCTGGGGGAAGGGACCAAGAAGATCTATGCCTAAAATTTCATTCGGAAATGTAGCGTGAATGCTATTTAAGTACCCGGGCCGCCGGGCTGTAATTAATATCATTTATTAACTGACATTGAATGCAGGACCTGACATACGCCGTTACTACTTTTTTATATAATTGGCGGAAAATATACCGCCTCGCGTACCCTTTTTAAAGTCTTTCTGACACCTAAATGACCCGCTGTTTTCGCGTCGTATAATTCCTTCAAAATGCTTAATCGAAGCGAGGCTGGGATGACTCGTTTGTACTCGAGATTTGCGTTTGTTGTTTTCGTATAAAATAATAAATTATCTATTATTTCATAGTTTTCTGCTCTATTTCTTATCGCATCGATATCTGTGTGCGTTCTACTGAAATTTACATACTCTGGCATTGGCAGTTCCAGGGGAAAGTAAGGCTTGACAGGAAAGATAGTTTAAACTTAAAATAAATGTTAGTTAAAATAAATATAAACCCTACAAGTCTTTTTAAAAAAGACTAAATCCGTAGATCTGAAAAACTATAAATTACGTACTCAATAAGTTCCTAACAATATACGCCGGTTATTCTTCAATAAGAGCAAGCTCCGCGAGTTGATTGTGTCTAGCTTCGCCTGATTAATTTTTTTAGTATTAATTACATTTACATTTTCTATTGTAAATTAAAGACCAAATTGAGGTTTGTTGTATGTTCCAGAGGAACCATCTATTTATTCAGTTTCGGCTGGAATGAAAAGATACATTAGTCTTTCTTTGGACTTGTAACATAAACTAGAATATCTCAGCGAATTGTCGCTACAAATTTCATCAGTAATCCAGGTTACGAGGAACTCTAGTTTAGCTAAAATATTACAACCTCGGTTAAATACTTGGAAATGTGTGAAATATCATGCCATTGCGATTCAAAATTTTTGAAGCACCGTTATGAAGAAATACTAATTGGAAATTTATCGCACAAACTTTCAGAGATGATACTCGGCAAACACGTAAATATTATTCACATTGGAACCTCGGGACGCAGACCATTTATTTATCCATAAATAAAGCTTTAAGTGCATTTACAATAAAAAACTGCAAAATGAAAACGAGATCACACAACATCTCGCATGAATTGTTTCATAAGAAGAACACCACATGTAGAAAATATCTTTTTTAAACTACGTCACGAAAGTTATTTGCATATTACTGTGTAATTTGCATATTAGTAATGTAATTTGGGAGAATATATTTTCAGACATTTTTTATGCATGATTTCGAAATTCTTACAGAAAAATAAAGACTGAGAAGTTCATTCGTGCTTAACATACATATTATAATCAATTTCTGCCCATGTAATTAAACCACTGAACAAAACGTGCTTTGAATATACATACCTAAACCTCCTGATTGCGCACCAAATCCCATTGCACCAGAACCACCTAAAATGAACAAATAAAATGAACAGGGTCAAATCTATTTAACATTTAATAAATGGCTACCGCGCTATTTTTTGCGATATAATGAGAAACTGAGAACTGAATTGGCAATTAACTTTTGTCATCAAATTTGACGGGAAATGGTCAATCGTGTCCAAACCTGACACCAATTTGGCAAAATTTTGGTCGGTACCCTGTATAACTGAAACGGATATTATGCTTTCCAGGGATTTCAACAAGCAGAAAGCATTACGCAAAGTATATAAAACGAAGGAGAACATCAGTTTCTCGGTTGTTATTAGTAGTTACTTCATCATATTTCCAAACGCTGAGAAAAATGCACGTTAGCTCCGCTCTCCATATGCGCTTCGTACTGAGTTCCGTTTATCGTCCTTAGCAGTTTGATGTGCACCCACTGATATTACTGTGGGATATTGGGCATAGCTTTACAAATACTTTTGCAGAAAATTTCAGAACTGTGAAGGGCATTTTTGGTAAATTATATTTTACAATGTATCAGGATTTCAGGGTACATTCAATTCATTATTAGCCCGAATACACGCAACAGTATATAACACTGAATGTTTCTAACAAGTACTTTGAATAAATGTATAATTCCGTGCAATTCTTAACTTTAGTATACGATTTCTACTTCGGAAACCTAAAACTAATGCGATTAATGCTGAATGGATCCAGCATCATAAAAAATCATATAAATCATTTAATGTAATTTGAGCGAATATATTTCCAGAATTCTTTTATACATAATTTAGAAGTTCTTACAGGAAAATAAACTGAGGAGTTCATTCGTGATTAATATGCATATTAGAATGAATTTCTGACAATGTAATTAAGGCATTTAACAAACCGTGCTTTGAGTACTACATACCTGAACCTCCTGATTGCGCACCAAATCCCATTGCACCTGAATCACCTAAAATGAACAAATATGCAGCAGTTATCGATTTTAATACTCTAAATATAATGTGATTAAACTGCTCTTTTTAAAAAGACTAAATCCTGTAATCTGAAGAACTATAAATTACTAATTCAGAAGTCAAACAACAAAAGTCAGCGTTATATTTACAAAAAATTCGCAGGACTAGTTTCGATGGTTTTATCCAACCACCATCCTCAGCTGCAAAACCGCAAATGAACAAGATAGAAAATAATGATTAGATAAGAAAAGAAAGGAGGGACACGAATAAGCAAGTGGCGCCATCTGTTGGTGAAACAAGAACTAAAACATAATTTCTTTAAAGGCCGAAGGCAAATTTGGATTGTAATTAGGATCGTTAGGACTAGAACAGAAAGATTTTTATGAATGAAATGCCTCTAGGAAATCCAGTTCTCAAATAGAAGATTTGAGAGAATATATTTCCAGACTTTTTTTATGCATAATTTGGAAGTTCTTACAGAAAAATAAACTGAGAAGTTCATTCCTCTTTAATATACATATTAGAATCAATTTCTAACAATGTAATTAAGGCATTCAACAAAACGTGCTTTGAGTACTACATACTTGAACCTCCTGATTGCGCACCAAATCCCATTGCACCTGAAGCACCTAAAATGAACAAATATGCAGCAGTTGTTGTTGTTGTTGTTTGGACTTCTGAATTAGTATTTATTCGGCGTGTTATTGTGTCTTAACTATAAATTAGTTTTCAATTTACGGAAGTACATAATATTTATCTAATGGTATACGCCAGTTATCCTTCAATAAGAGCCAATTCTGCGAGTTAATTGTATCTAGCTCCGCATGATTAATTGTGTTTAGAATTAATTAAATTTATATTTTCTATTTTAAATTAAAGCCCAAACAGAGATTTATTGTACGCCCCAGAGGAACAATCTATTTATTCATCTTTGGTTGGAATAAAAGTGTAAATTATCTTTTATTTAATCTTGTTACATACAGTAGAAGAAATAATGAAAGCACTGAAGAAGATGTGCTTTGAGTACCACATACCTGAACCTCCTGATTGCGCACCAAATCCCATTGCACTTGAACCACCTAAAATAAACAAATAAAATGAACAGGATAAAGTCTATTTAACATTAAATGGCTATAGTGCTATTTTTGCGGTATAATGAGAAACTGACAACTGAATTGGCAACTAACTTTTGTCATCAAATTTGACGGGAAATGCTCAATCGTGTCCAAACCTGCCACCAATTTGGCAAAATTTTGGTCGGCACCCTGTATAACTGAAATGTATATTGTAATTGAATATCAGTAATTAGTGCCTGTATTAGTTGGAAACGTAGTCAGCCATCACATGCTTTCCAGGGATTTCGAGAAGCAGAAAGCATTACACAAAAGTATATAAAACGAAAGAGAACATCAGTTTCTCGGCTGCTATTAGTAGTTACTTCATCATATTTCCAAACATTGAGAAAACTGCACGTTAGTTACGCTCTCCACATGCGCTTCGTCTTGAGTTCCGTTTAACATCCTTAGCAGTTTGATGTGCACCTCCTGATTTTACTGTGGGATACCGAGATTAGCTGTACGAAAATATTTTTGCAGAAAATTTCAGAACTCTTAAGTGCATTTTTGGTAAAATATATTTTACAATGTATCAGGATTTCAGCGTGCATTTAATTCATTAATAGCCCGAATGCACGCAAGAATATGTAACACTGAATCTTTCTAACAAGTACTTCACATAACTGTATAATTCCGTGCAATTCTTAACTTTAGTATACGATTTCTACTTCGGAAACCTAAAACTAATGCGATTAATACTGAATGGACCCTGCATCATAAAAAAATATATAAATCATTTCATGTAATTTGAGCGAATATATTCCAGACTTCTTTTATGCATAATTTGGAAGTTCTTACAGGAAAATAAACTGAAAAGTTCATTCGTGTTTAATATGCACATTAGAATCAATTGCTGACAATGAAATTAAGCTATTGAACAAAACGTGCTTTGAGTACTACATACCTGAACCTCCTGATTGCGCACCAAATCCCATTGCGCCTGAAGCACCTAAAATAAACAAATATGCAGCAGTTATCGATTTTAATACTCGATTTAATACTCGTTTTATCGATTTTAATAATCGATCGATTTTAATACTTATATAGTGTGATGAAACTGCTCTTTTTAAAAAGACTAAATCCGGTAATCTGAAGAACTATAAATTAGTTTTCAATTTATGGACGTACATAATACGTATCTAATAGTATACGCCAGTTATCCTGCAATAAGAGCGAACTCTGCGAGTTAATTTTATCTAGCTTCGCCTGAAATTGTGTTTAGAATTATTTAAATTTATATTTTCTATTTTAAATTAAAGCCCAAACAGAGATTTATTGTACGCCCCAGAGGAACAATCTATTTGTACGTTCCGTTGTTTAAAAATAGTGGACTGTAAATTGACTTGATATTAATTCAGTATAGAACCCAAGAAACCTCAGAGTCATAATCGACCGGAACTTCTTTATTGGCTTTCAAACATTAAGTTGGTTGAGGAACAGCGAAGACCACACTGCAAACTCCGACTTCGGTAGCGGCTTACCACACAAACTCAGAAGAACCTCTGCTTAATTGAAATTCCAGTAATTTACAGCAACCTCAAAGCTCAAAACGCGAGCTGTAAAAGCATAACAAATTTGCGTCTGCGCGGCTCCTCGGTACAAAGAAAGGAATACAATTTGCCATTATTACATCGAACATACCCCCAGCCTTGAAGTCTGAAGTGGGTTCAAACAATAAATTTAAACTCTTGAACTGCATAAACCTGAAAATAAAAATTAAAGTCTCTAAAACAGGAATTAAATGGCAAAGCGCATAGCTTTGCAATAGGTCGTTTTATTTCACCATTGGTAGTGCGTAAACTCACCACTCGAACTTTCTCATCAAGACCAGGATACACTTTAGTAATTCTACCTAATTTCCAACGTAGCGGAGGTAGATTTTCCTTCTTAATAAGAACCATATCACCAACCTTCAGATCTTGTTGTAAGTTGCACCACTTGGATCTCTGCTGCAACCTAGATAAATACTCAATGTTCCATCTCTTCCAGAAATGTTGAAATAACCTTTGCACGTTCCTCCAACGATCACTGCA